TCATGTCCTGTAGCTTTAAGGTGCTGGAAAAGGGAGGAAGTTTTTTCTTTTTTTCTTACTGCGTTCTTGTGTTCTGCAAGCATCCCAAAGCTACATTTGAAAATGATTATCTAGATTGGCTTCTTTAAGTAGACATGATTAGGAAGTTTAGGAAGGAGGAACAGATTCACGATTTTATAGAAAAGTGGGGTTTTAGAAATTCCAGGTGTATTTAAATACATCCGTGGACTGGAGGGGGCATGGTTTCGTGTGCTCCCTGCATCCCGTGGCTGGGGCTTCGCTTGCATGTGTGGCCCAGTTGCTGGCCTCCTGCGACCCAGTGTCTGTCCATAGACTGGCAGTTGAGAACTCCTGGACTACCTTATGCGTGTTCTTGTTATAATATTTTTCGCATTACTCTTTCCTGGCAGGAAGAGAAAATGGAAGGCAACGGCTCCCTTTGCATCCAGCGTTGGTCTACCAGACACGTAGCCAAGTGGCTGAAGCAAGAAGGATTTTGTGAGTATGTGGACATTCTGTGTGATAAGCACCGGCTGGATGGCATCACACTGTTGACTCTGACGGAATATGACTTGCGGTCCCCTCCCTTGGAGATCAAGGTTTTGGGGGACATCAAGCGGCTGATGCTGTCCATACGGAAGCTGCAGAAGCATCATGTGGACATTTTGGAGGAGCTGGGCTACAGCAGCGAGACCCCAATTGGGTCCCTGTCCCCCGTGATCGGCTGCGCCCAAGGCAGGGAATGGTTTTGCAATGGCGAAGTGCAGCGGGACTGCGATGACTTTGAATCCGTGTCCGAGCTGAACGCTGAGCAGTACCAGTACACCAACGGGAAAGGCAAGCATTCTCCGAGGAGGCTGAACCCTGAATATTGGAAGACAGCTCTGAGCTGCATCTATGTCTTCATTGTGTTTGGCTTCACCTCCTTTGTCATGGTCATTGTGCACGAGCGGGTACCCGATATGCAGACCTACCCACCGCTACCAGACATATTCCTGGACAGGTAAGGACACTGCTGATGGTTGAAGGAGCCCTTTTTGAGTAGAATTGAATGGTGGCATTATTTGTCGACAATGCTGATTTGTCCCCTTTTTCCAGGAAGCTGATTGTATGCACAGACTTTTCTGTAAGTGTTGAAATTACAGAGGATGAGTTACTTATGTTCTCTTAAATGCAAGGTCTTGTAATTGAGAAGTCCATCTGGGAAGGTCTAGGTCAATGAGGGCGAACTTTTTCTTATGCCGTGCCAAAATTGAGTGTGTGCATGCTATCACATCAATTCAATCTTCCCCGGCTACCTGCGCATGTGTGTGCAAACACCACCACCCCCTCCCCAAGCTCTGGAGGCTTTCCTGAAGCCTTGGGAGGGCAAAAACGGCCTCCCCCAGCCCCCTGGAGGCCCTCTGGAAGCCGGAAACGGATCATTTCCAAATTTCCAGTTGGATTTTGGGGCTTTTTTTCACCCTCCGGAGGTGTTCCTAAAGCCTGAGAAGAGCAAAAACGGCCTCCCCCAGCCCCCTGGAAAGCCAAAAATAAGCTTGCCAGTGCACACATGTGCGCTGGAGCTGACAGCTAGTGTGCTAGCAAATATGGCTCTGCGTGTCACCTGTGGCATGCATGCCATAGGTTCACCATCACGGTTCTAGGTCCATGTATCTAGGTGAAAAGGTTGCTAAATCATTTTATTTATTTATTTATGCACGCATGCATGAATGAAAGTGCAGGTATTCTTTTTGGAATTTTGGAATCAGGAATTCTGGGAACAGAAAGCCACACATCTTAAACTAAGATGATGAAGGACCTGGCAACTAAAACATATGAAGAACAGTGGCAGGATTTGGGTTTGCCTAGTTTAGAAAAAGAAGGCCTAGGGGAGACATGATAGCAGTATTCCAGTATTTGATAAGCGGCCACAAAGAAGAGAAGAAACAACTTATTTTCCAAAACGCCAGAAGGCAGGACAAGTAACAATGGTTGGAAACTAATCAAGGAGAGAAACAACCTGGAATTAAATAGAATTTTCCTAACAGTAAGGACAATTAACCAGTGGAACAACTTGCCTTCAGAAATTGTGGGTGCTCCATTACCTGCAGGTTTTTAAGAAAAGACTGGACAGTCACCAGCCTGAAATGGGTTCTGAAATGGCAGTGGTTGGACTAGAAGACCTCCAGGGTCCCTTCCAGCCCTATTCTAATTGATTGATTAAAGTGGTGAAGATTGAGAAACAACTGGCTTAGCCCCACCATATATGTGGAATTGCCTATGTAATTTCTATAACAACTTGTATCATATCTTGGTTGTGGTATCCTTGATGCTCCCTGAGCTGGCTTGTTGTCCAGCAGCCATTTCATTACCCAACTAGGTGACATCATCAGGGCTAGGATGTCTTGATTACCATTGGCATTGAATCAGAAGTCTAACTGCTGGATGCTGTTTGCTGAAGTCAGTTTGGGACTGACTTCAGCACAAAATTGTCAAGATAACAATTGACTGAATATTCGAGGCCGGGGATCTCCAAATCTGGCTTGTGGCAAACTTTAAGGCTTGTGGCAACTTTAAAGCTCTCTATGACCCAGGTAAGGGAAGCAGTGGCCCAGTGGCTAAGATGCTGAGCTTGTCAATCAGAAAAGTTGGTAGTTCAATTGTTCGAATCCCTAGCACTGCATAACAGAGTGAGCTCTTCTTATTTGTCCCAGCTTCTGCCAACCTAGCAGTTCGAAAGCACATAAATGCAAGTAGAAAAATAGGGACCACCTTTGGTGGGAAAGTAATAGCGTTCTGTGCGCCTTCAGCGTTTAGTCATGCTGGCCACATGACCATGGAGACATCTTCAAACAGTGCTGCCTCTTCGGTTTTGAAACGGAGATGAGCACCACCCCCTAGAGTTGGGAATGACTAGCATGCATGTGCGGGAGAATCTTTACCTTTATCATAAAAATTGATGCTGCATCTTAATATTTAATGCATCCTGGGGAAGCTGAAATAAACTCCAAATTTATCAAATCATTCCGCCACAAAACAATTCAATTAATTCTGTTTATTTTTTAAAAACATGAATAGCCACGAAAATAAAAGTTGTAAAGTTGGGATGATGCCTGTCAAACCTACTCATCACAATTGCATTTTACTGCTTACATTTTTAAAAAACAAATATATAATTTTCCGGTTTGGTTTCATCTGAGAACCAATCGTTCTATAGCTCCATGAAGAAAGAGCTGTTTCTTAGCGTGTCCTTGTTGCAAATGATCAGGGCAACTTGGGAGTTGGCGCTGGCCAGATCCTTTCCCCTGCCTTTCTCTGCTTTCATTTAATGTCACCAGACACAATGGATTCATTCATGCAGAAGCCATAACTGAGTTATTTGTCAGTCTGAGCTAAAAGCAAACAAAGCATTTGCACTGTGCCTGAATGTTATCTGTGACCAGGGTTGTTGAATTTAGGTATTGTTTTAATTCCTGCTTTGCATTTAAGAATAAGAGAAAGATGACTTTTTGAATGCCAGATGTTATTCTAGGTTAAATGTGTGACCTTCAAGCACTGGGGACCTCTGGGAGATCCCTACCAGCAAACAAGGCAGGAAATTGCAGCAACTGGCTGTCTGATTGCCCCAACTCTTATGCCCTTTAGTAACCAAAAGACATGTGATTGATTCTTTGTTTGAATTGTTTCTCATCCACGGTCTCCGCCCCATGAGTGGTTTCCAGAGATTGCAAAAGACTTAGAAGATAAGGCTGAATATCTGTTGACTGCCAAAGAATCTGTGGTCATGATAATGTTTGAATAGATGAGATCGTATAATTATCTTGGTTTAAGCCTTAGATCAAAAAGATTTATTCAATTCTCTACAAGATGTTCCTTCTTGGGAAGAGTCAACTTTTCTAAGAGAAGACTAAATGCTCTGGGTTTTTCCCCTTCAAAGGAATTAAGAAACCTTAAGAAATGAATATTTTGGAATGCTTATAGCTATCCAGTAACAGATGTTTGGGAAATCGTTTTATATACCGTGTCTCCCCGAAAATAAGACAGGGTCTTATTTTCTTTTGACCCCCGAAATAAGCACTTGGCCTTATTTTTGGTCAGGACTTATTATTTTTGAGGGTGCAGGAGGCAGTGAGCGTGGTCACCTCATGGCTGCTGCTGTGATGCAATATTTTCAGGGAAAGCTTATTATAGCACATGCGCTCAAAAGCCCAATTGGGCTTATTATCTGGAGAGGACTTATTTTGGGGGAAACAGGGTAATTTTATTAAAAGTTTTTAAAAGGAAGATAAATGCTAATACAAACCAATGTAAAGTAAAAAAAGAAGAAAGGATTAAAAAAGAAAGCTAAAACTACAAGAAAGGAAACAAAGTAAAAGAATAGAAAAGAAAGAAAAAAGATTTTAAAAAGTGACTTCCCATCTTCTTTACAGTAGTTATAAATACAATTATAATTTTTCCTTTCCCTAAAGTTATAAAATGTCCCTCTTGTTTCTCTCCTCTTTAATTATCAATACCAAAAATCATAAGTTCATTTTTTTCTGTTTTATGCAAAAAAAGTCCATAAGAGGTTTTCAACAAAGTTCCATGATTCCCCCCCCCAATTGTTTGTCCGTCAATCCCAAAAGAAGGACCTCACTTCTCAACTACATATTAATCTTTAAAATCCTCTGAATTGTGTACATATTTGAATTCTAAATTTTCTAACTTTTTTACACATCCACCAAGCATGACAAAGAATCCCTTCTTGTTATACAAATTTGAAGCATCTTCATATATTCTAGACATTTTCTCCGGGGGCATACAGTACACCAAACAATCCATCATTTTATAAAAATTCTCTTTCATATTATAACACGGTGTAAATATTAATTTTTTTCAAGCATACATTTCCCATTGTTCCATTTGTATCATTATAGCCAAGATTATAAGCCCATTTTATCATACTTTATTTCATTTTGTTTCATTTTCATTTGTTCTGCTTCAAATGTTAATAAAGATTTATGCATTTTAGCAATTACATGTTGTTCATTTGTACAGAATTATATGACAAACACATTCCTAAATTGTTCAGAACCGGAAAGTCTTTCATCTACTTTAAATCTTTCTAATATTGTAAGAAAACCACTGGGAACTATATTCCTCTGCAACCAGTTCTTTTCTTGATTTGATTTTGCATTTCCTGTGAAAAAAATCTAGGATCTCATCATAAGTTAGTCATTTATATTTGCCTATTATTTCTCGTCCAGAAAATGCTTCTTGTGCCGAGGACAACAAAGGTATTTTCAGGCACACCCTGGATTTATATCTGTTCCATATTCTTGTCCAACATAGCAATTTTCAAATTCCACATTAACCTTGACTTTGTTGTACCACAAGTACCCATGCCACCCAAATTTCTTCCACAAGTCTTTTGTTTCTCAGCAACACCCACTCTTTTATCCAAAGACAACAGCAAGCTGCAAATACAACGTCAGGTCATGTTAAACTCAACCATCCTCTTTCCTTTGCACCCTTTAATGCAGTGATCACCAACCGGTGGTCCGTGGACAACTGGTGGTCCGCGATAAAACTTTGGTGGTCTGCAGAAAATTATTTGCATTGTTTATATTGTTCTAAATCAGGAGTCCTCAGACTACGGCCCCTGGGACGGATACGTGCAATCAATGTTTGTGTTGCTGCAGAGAGTCTCCCCCTTCAGGATCTTTTTTGTGGGGGTCGGAGGGGGGCAGAAATTCTCCATCAACCACAATGTGTGAAATATAAATTCATCCTACCCATTTTATAAAGTTCCATGGTCCACATTTTCCAAAATAGTGCTTTATCATTCTCCCCCTTAAAAAAAAAGTAAAATGGGGAAGTGTTCATTGCATATAGTCTGCACATCACCACGTGTAGATTCTTCTAGAATTTACTAAGGAGGAAGGCAGACACAGCACTGCTATAATCATCCCTAAAATAGGCTTAGAAATCTTTTTTTTATAGAGCAAAAGGAAGAATGAGGAATGAAAAACTTTCATTCCA